TCAGCAGGAGGTCCTTGAAAAAAACAGTTGCCAATGATCTGCCCTACCAGAGCAAAGATATGTGTGAACGCTAATGAACACTTTCTCTCTAAGGAAGGTCACTGCTGGGCTGGGCCAACCCTGCACTCACAGGGGAGCCCATCCCAGAGTCATTGCTGGAGGCCAAATGCCTGAAGCAGTGTGGGAAGATCATGGGCATCAGCTGCCCCATACAGATCACTCTGCCCCAGCATGGAGAGGGCCATGCGGAGGGTGCTCCAGATGTTGTCAGACATAGCTCCTTGCTGCCCCCGTGGACCTCGGCTCTTCTGCTGCATGTGCAAAGCCTCTAAGAAGTGCTCCACAGCCTCACTGTCAACATGAGAACATACACATGCTTACTGGAGAAGATGTACATTTCATACTCCCTCCCCCATTTGCTTCTAAAGTACTTCCCCTCAAAAACAGTTTCCTCCTCTTTACCAGATCCTGCCCCACTCCAAAACCATCAGAGATGCCCCTTTTCCCTCTTAACAGAAACTGAAGTCCGGATGGCCCCTACTCCAACTGCATCTGCATGACACACTGTTCTCAGGGCAGAGTACATGCGCTCACTCTGTTCTCCTATGCCAAGGGAAGGCTGCAGGCAGTGTGGCGCTGCCCTAGTAACCTATCACAGTCCCTCTCCCACAAACACATGCACACTCATGGGTCACAGCAGATCTGTCCATCCTATGCTCACCGGTGGGCACCTAAGTTGATGCAACTGATGCCCAAGTTGTAGCGAGAGCGGATGTATCCTGGCTGGAGCTCCAGTGCCCGACGATATGCAGCCACAGCTTCCTCACTCCGATTCCCATTGGCCAGGGTGGCACCAAGCTTGTTCCACAGAAGATGGTCCTGGAGCAGGGGGCAGAGAGAAAGGGCTGAGATAAACTGAATCTTTTTAAGCTCCAAGCCAACCCTCCCTTCCCCATGCATCAGTCCTATTACTCCACTCCAAAAATGTACCTCTCATACAAGCAGCACCTCCACCCAAACCTTCACCCACAAACCTCCAGGTACATCCAGCATCCACAGTCTGCCCTCTCTTACATTGGGGCGCACACTGAGTGCAGCACTGAAGCAATCCACAGCCTTCTCGTACTCGCCACTAAGGTTGAAAAGGACACCCAGGCCACACTGAACATCAGCATCCACAGTTGAGGGGTTGCTGCGCACAGCTGCTAAGAACAGCTCTTTCACCTCCACGAACAGTGAGCTGAAAAAGCACAGAACAAAGACACTGGTGTACTATAGAGCAAGCTGACCTTGGGTTGCTCCCTCTGCTCCTGCCTGGACCGGTCACAACCCTCCAAGAAGCCTTTCAGCTGAAGGCTGAAATTTATAGCCCCAACTCACTCAGACAGCAGGGAACCTAGGACACGCTTGGAAGGTCCCAGGTTTGTCCCTGAGACACTCTCCTCTGGTTCCTTCTCCAGCAAGTGTGCATAGTCCGGTTTATGGCGTAGCCAGTCCCGCAGGGTCTCACATGCCTGCTTCTGCAAGGACTCGTTGGTGAAGCTGACCGCTAAAGCCATGAGTGCTGTGAGGTTTCCAGGCTGCAATTCCAAGCACCTGCAGGTCAAAGAAAGAAAAATTAATACAGTAATAAATCAGTCTGTGAGACATCCAGATACAGGAGGTAACATAATCAAGACGGAGCACACCATGCTAGCCATACAGTCCTTGTAGCATTATGCACTAGACAAGGAGCCATGCTTAGCTTCTGCAACACTCACTGTCTGAGGGCACTGATTGCCAAAAGCTCCTGTTCATTCTCTGCTTGGGTCGTTCCCAGATATTGCCAGGCCTGGAGAAGATAAAGATGCACAAAACTCAGACTTCACATCCAGAGAAAAAGATCAGCTGATAAACCACAGACACAAGAGATTAAATCCACTGTATTATCTCACACATTTTCAGACTGAGAACAAATATATGCAAGTATACACATTAGCCACAAATAAAAGTTCCTCTCAAAAGACTGTCCTGGTTTCAGCCAGGGTAGAGTTAATTTTCTTCACAGAAGCTAGCGTGAGGCTATGTTTTGGATTTGGGATGAGAAAATGTTGATAAGGTGCTGATGTTTTGAGTTGTTGCTGAGTAGTCAAGGACAGTCCAGCTTCTCGTGCTGGCCTGCAGCGAGCAGGCTGGGGGTGCACGGGAAGCTGGGAGGGGACACAGCCAGGACAGCTGACCCAGGCTGGCCAAAGAGATATTCCATACCATATAACGTCATGCTCAGTATATAGAGCTGGGACAAAGAAGAAGGAAGGGGTGGAGGGACATTCGGAGTTATGGCGTCTGTCTTCCCAAGAAACTATTACGCGTGACGGAGCCCTGCTTCCCTGGAGATGGCTGAACACCTGCCTGCCCATGGGGAGTGGTGAATGAATTCCTTGTTTTGCTTTGCTTGCGTGCGCAGCTTTTGCTTTACTTATTAAACTGTCTTTATCTCAAACCATGAGTTTCCTCCTTTATCTCAACCCACAAGTTTTCTCACTTTTACGCTTCCGATTCTCTCCCCCGTCCCATCGTGGGGGAGTGAGCGAGCGGCTGCGTGGTGCTTGGTTGCTGGCTGGGGCTAAACCACGACAAAGACATATAGGTTTTATGGCACATAGGTCCTCAAGGCCAATAAAACTGGCATTTTTATAGTGAGAAAAAGTGAATGTCTACCTGGAGATCTATCAAAAAGCAGCTGTTGGCAGTTTTACACTTTTAAGTCACAGAATCACCACTTTTAACTTCTAACTGTGGTCAAGCTGCAGAGGACAGAGGGAAAAGCAGATCTCTTATTTCCTAAGAACAAAATGGCATAGCAGCAGTGATAATAATAATGAGACCCCCAAGGTAGGCAGCTGTATACATGTGTGCAGTGGTCCACTAGCAAGTGATAATCTTGGGGAGATGACCATCAGACCTGAAAGTAAGCACTGTTATTTTCCTGAATCTTCAGTCGTCACGACACCAGTACATGAAAACCACCTCCATCTCCAGGCTGCTGACACAGGGAATATTTAATTAAGGCACTAAATCCAAAGACCCTGTTCACTTTATGTTGATAACCACACCCCTTGCTCAAAAATAAGCTATATAGTTGGCAGGATGTCAGAGCATAAAGTACCTCCTTTTTGAATGAGTCACAAAATGCAGTATCCACTGTCTCAAGGAGGAAATTGTTTCATTAGCAAAGACCCAGACACACTGCACAAGCCACCACAAGGAAGAGGCAATCTACTGTCTCAAACCTCCAATACCTCACCATATAGCTAGCTGCAATTCAAGAAGAGCTGACCACTGATAACTGCATAGTGTTCTGCAGGCAAAAGAGCTAAGGTAAAATTGTGATCTGGACCAAAGCAACCATGACATTTCCCTCCCAGCAATTGTTCGAGTCTATTCGATCACTGTACCATTTGTGAAGTCTTGACTTCTCCTGTACTTTCTGCAGAGCCACAGTAGAATTCAGAATGTTTTCAATACAGCTAGCCAGAACTGGCCCAGGATTTCTTCCCCTAAGGTTTCAACTACCTCTCCATTATGTTCAGCCTGCAGCTCACACTGCCAATGAGAAAAGGGTACCAATTCTAAAGGAATACTAGAAACACCTTTTGACCACTTTAAAGCTAAAGTAGGTCTCCAAAATCTCTGCTTACTTTTCATCTACTCCCAGTACCCTAGAAAGTTAGATGCTTGTATTCCAGAAGCCAAGAACCCCTGTTCCGAGAAGTCACTCTCATCTAAACCTCAGGATTAACAAAATTAGGTATTTCCAATTATAAACAATTAGCAGGGCTTGATTCAGACACACTGAGAATTCAGCATCCCTGAGTCCTTGAGGCTTCTCAGGGATAGACAACATGGATGTTCTCCTCCTCCAGAAATGGACAATATGGGTGTATTTGCATTCTTCCCCTTCCTCCTGATAATATCCATGTCTCTACTGCTGGAGAAAGGCACACAGACTATTCCATTTCTCAATCCATCCTGCAGAAGCTGAAATGCTTTATGGAACTAATTATTCACTGAATTAGAAGCTGCAAATTTGTCTTCAGTATAAAAATCATTCTCTGGCTCACAGCTTCAAATGAAGACTGTGAAGACAACCAAGCCATCTCTCTAAATCCTTCTGTGTTACATCTTCTCCTGGCATCTACATGGAAGACTTAACCAGAACCTCTAGACTAACAAGCTGCTTAGAATTAGTGTTTAATACAGATATCGAAAGCAGTTACCATCTGCCATAACCATCGCCAAACTTGCAATCCCAATAAAGACTTCCACAGAAGCAACTTAAGAGGTGAGAACTCCTTGTCTTGGCTCCATACAGAGTCTCACGTGCTCTAAAGATTTTACACAGCTCTCGGCCAGAGTCTTTGTGCTTTTTGTAACTGACCTTAGTCATAAACCTCCCTGCCCGCAGCCCTCCTGGGGATTCACATACATCAGCTACATACCCAGAGCCACAGAAATATTAGGTATTTTCACACAACCTGCACAGCTCCTAACACTGACGTGAGTTCTCTACACACACCCTGTCACCTTACAAGGGAAGGATACAAGAAGCAGGACACTTGGCCAAGGCCTGTTATCTCTGCTCTCACTCACCTCCATATGATCTGGCTTCTGTTGCACTGCAGCCTCAAAAAGTAAGACAGCATTGGGGAGATCACCTTCCTCCAGGCGCTTACGCCCCTCTTCAAATGCATCTGGGTGATATCTCATGGGATTATCTTCCTCAAACTGGTATCCCTAGCGGGGAAGACAGACAGGGACTAATGCTAGGAGACAGACTTAAGAAGAAAAGAACTCTGTACTAGAAAAGAACTCTCTACTAGTACAGCACAGTCTAATCTTACTGCGTCAGAAACACTCAAACTGCAGACCAGCCAGCAGTTCATCCTCTCTGCTAGGATGTAAGAGATCAGAGAACAATGGCTCTTCTTCCTGCATGCTCTGTGCTGAAAAATTCCCCCCAAATAGACCTGGAATAAGTTGCAACAGACTAAACATCTGGTGTGGGTCACATCAGCTTGGGGGTGTGGGGCAACACCACTTGCACTCATTGCAAAGAAAGCCAGCATTAACTGGTATTTGGTGTCAGACGAGAACTAGACAGTATTTGCAGACAAACACAAGTGAAAACAGTATTGCTTAACCCCTAGCTGATCTGGGATGAGTGTGCAAGTGACAGCAAAAAATCAGTGCGAGAAGGAATCCTAGCAGCATTTGTGGTCTGTGGAGCTCACCTGCAAGGCAGACTTACTGCCAGTGTCCTCAAGGCAGTCCATCACAGTGCTAGGGCTGACAGACCCTGTTCTCTGTTACCTTGTCATACGACGAGGAGCTGAGGTCTTCATAATCAGAAAGCCACGGGTGAGCCTCTGCATCTCTCTTGGCCATCTCCTCCCATTCTGCCTGGAGTTTGTCCCAGAAGTCCACATCTGACTGAAGGGAAAACAGAATGTGACTAGAGTACCTCTAGCTCAACCATAAACTGAGCTCTAGACAACCCAGAACACACCCTCTTAAATGTTTCTAGCCCTCCTCACAGCATTCCAAGGAGAGACGTAACCCTACCATGGGCTCTCAGTTGGTACCCCAGCCATCCTCCTCCATCAGCTTTACCTCCACAGCAGTCTTTGCCTGCTCAAATTCCGTATCAAGAGTTGACATGTTCCCAGATCGTGCAAATTGATCCACCCAGGCATCGGATGCCCCCTGGGAGTTTGGAAACAGAAAACACCTTTCTTTTTAGAATTTGACAACTTCAAGGCACATCCCAAAACAGCAGGAGGGTCTGTGATGAACCCTCCTCCCCATCAGCAAGAACTGATGGTCCGTACATTTGAAAAGAGTTCATTTGGATATCCCCTTCCTCCCAGGTGCTACAGGAGATGAGAAAACTCACACTGCCCAAATACCTTCCCAGCTTCTGGCTAGACTCTGCTAAGAAGAGTCCAACAGCCCCTCCCTCATCTCCCCCAGCCTAGTCATTAGTAGAATATTGCTGAGAGTTGGACTTGCCATTCTCCCTCGCTCCACAGACTGTGCACTGTGGCAAAAAGCTTTCCTCCTTCAGAGCACATAGGGTTGGGGCTCCTACCTGCTGCTGTATAAACTCAGCTGCCCATTGCTCTGCCTGATCTTGGTCTCTGTGGGTCACCTGATTAGCTTCGATCGATACCCTCCCATCTCCGATCTGGCGGACAAACTTTAGGAACTGTGGCAGAGAAATGAAACAAGGGTGGAGCTGGGCAGACGCTTTGCCAACAAGCCCTCTGCCCATACCCCTCTCCTTCACTAAGAGGATTTCTCTCTGCAGCACAAAAGGCCCGAAAAGGTAGGGAGGACAGGACTTCAGAGTCATGTGGTAGAGATGGATAATAACTAGAGTGGATTGTAGGGTTCAGCTTCTAGGAATCAGGGAAAAAATGGAAACACGGGACAGCAGGAGGCTTTATTCCTTTACCGTCTTCCCCCTTCTCAATTCCCCACACCCCTTATTCACACTACACATCTGTCAGCCCCAGTCAGGGAATTTCTTACCTCAGAATTCTTGAGTTTTGGATCATCCACTTTAGAGAGAAAATCACTAACAGTTTGCTTAAGATCATCCTCAGGTTGATATTCCTCATACCTGTGTTCAAAGGCAGTAAAAGGAAAAGGGATAGTTTGATACTAGGCAACAGTGAACTCTTTCACTAACAGTGGTCTACACAATGGGCCAGACAACAGTATTGAGGGATACACCCCCTTCTCAAAGACTCCAGGGTTCTCCTAAGTGATTCAGTACCTTCATCCATCTGCAAAAATTTCAAATTACTACTAGGCTAACTATGCAAGTGACTGACACAAACAGTAGCAGAATTAAACAATTATAGTGACAACACAGCTCTGCAGAACAGTCTGGATTCCTTGGCAAGCTCACATGCTAACAGACATTGCAAGTTTTAGCACTACCGAAAGCAAGGTCATATATCTAAGAACAAAGAAAGTAGGTTATGTTCACAGAACAGGAAGAGTGTCTCGGAAAAGCATCAACTCTGCAGAGGATTGAGGACTCATAGCAAGCACACAACTCAATAAGTTGTCTCGCTTACAACGGGATAGGACCAGTTCCAGGTGTTACCACTACACTGTCTTGGTGAAGTCTTTGGAACTGCGGCAATAACTCAATAATGTCCGTATTTGCAGAAAGGTATCAGAAAAGGCAAGAGCCAGGAGGAAGGAGAATCCAAATATGAAAGATCTAAGAAGCCCAAATTGCTTGCTTGTGTTTTGCTGCTTTAATTGAAAAACTTGACTGTAATCAACAGGTACCTATACAGAGAAGATCTGTAGTAATAGACTGCTCTTTAATATACCACACAAACACATGAAAATAAAGACTGAAAGTCTGAATCTAGAAATACACAGAGGAAAGGTTGGATGTGGTTTGCCAGATAAGGATAATAAAATTATGAAAATTTACAACTAGTAGAGTCTAGTACTTGAGATCTGTAAATCTAAAAAAGCATCTGTTGTAGAAGAAAGTTCTGCTTGATTAGGAGTTCTTGAACTCACCCCTGAAATCACTTTAAGGAATTTTGCATTGGGCATGAGATTAAGTTAGCCTACATATCTTCCTGAAAGTAGAAAATAGAAAAGCTAGGTTCTCTTAAAAACTGAGTTTCCAAGCATTGCTTCCTCTTTCCTCTGAAATCAAAGGCCTGAGAACACCAACCTAGCTTAAACGACTCAAAAGCCTTCAGGCCATAGCAGATTTCTACCACCTATCCAAATTTAACCCACCCAAGTGCCTGGCAGCAATAACTAGTCTTCAGAAGACAGACTCACCATTTATCCACTAAAGACTGGTCTTCCGATTCCCCAAGCCACAGTTTCTCTTCTGACTGCTCTAGGTATTCTTCTGCCCACTTGGCAGGAGACACAGACAGCGGATCTGCATTGGACATCAGGAATGAAAAGAAGAATGCCTAAGATAAGCAGACCATCACTCAGATTAACTTTAGATTTTGCTCTCTCCACTTTACACATGGTTAGCTAACATACAGACAAGACCTCTTCAAGCAAAAATTGTTTAAATTGTTTCTTCTAATTTTGTTTATTCTGATCTAAAAACCAAGCCTTGGGTTCAGATTGTGTACAGATGCCACTGTGGTGCCAATAACCTTATAACCTTCTACTTTAATTTCACAATTTATTTATCTGCTCCATGTGAGATACTATGTAGGTCAAGAAAATTAGCAATGCGTTACAAGTCTCTGTCAAAAGCATAGCCTACAAAGCACTAGGTTTTCATCAGAACTTTCTCAAAGACCTTTGTAAGTGCTGATTTATATTCCCAGAATCATAAAGAGTGAAGGTCAAAGAATGGCACTACCTGGCTCTCTACAGTGGCCACTCCTGAAGAAGAGAATAGCATCTACTTAAATCTTACTCATAACTTCCACATTAGGTCACGGATGGTAACAGAACCCTATTCGAGCCCCAGCTCTATACACAATACAGAATGTCTTTTCAGATAAACTACTGGCTTCCTTGAAACAGAAAGCAGAACAGAATGTTCCTTTGGGCCAGGAACATTCACTTTGCACGTTTTCGAAGGTGCAACATCCCTCTACTGCCATAAAACTGACAAAAGGTATTTGGCCAAGGCACACTGAACAATATTTACCTTTGTACCAAAGGCAAATTTAGCAATTAGGGAATTAGAGAATATGTAAGCAAGAAGCACTATGAGACCATCTCCAGAATTTGCATCAGTTGAACCATAATTTTTACAAAAGCAGTTTGAATAGCATGCTTCTCTTAAGTTCTTCAAGTAACCTAAGCTAAAAACAAAAGACCCTTACACCTGCATAAAAGCTTTCACACCACATTGTTCATAATTTGACTAAGTCATTGCAAAGCAGCTTCCCCCCCATTAAAGCTATTACAGGAAACACTGACTGTTGAGCCCAAAGCATTACTCCAATTTCACATTCAGTAATTCTCCACTATACACAGGCATGTGACTGGGCAACATCTTGACAGTGATTCCAAAAGGCATCCTTCACCTGTCACTTCAGCAATGAACTCTTGTGACCAGTCAGCCTCATTGTAATCTGAAGAGACATCACCAGCACTATCTGCTGCAGCCAAGAATTCCTGGGTCCAGTTTTCAGACAGTGCCAGGGCTGCCACACCTGGAGCTACAAGAAGAAAAACACAGAAGTGAAGATTGGAGGACTCAGAGGCATCATTTACGTGTTCCAGGCTAGCTCTCATCATCTCAGATCTTTCCCTTTCTCTTTGTTAGAATAAAATCACAGAACGATTACACTTGGAAAGAATCTCTGGAGGCTGCTAGCATTTTCACAGCAGGTTAACACTAAAGCTAGAGATTAGGTTGCTCAGGGCATTCATCAGGTAACTTCTGAACTTGTCCAAGGCTGGCAATTCCCTTAGCCTCCCTAGGCACCTGTTCCAGTACTGAACCACCCTCCAAGGGAAGAAATTATTCCTTAGAACTAGTCAGTTCCCCTTTCTGCAAGTTGTGTCCACTGCCCCTTGCCCTTTTGCTGTGTATCACTGTGAAGAACCTGGCTGTAGCTGCTGAAGACAGGAACTAGACACTCCATCCCCCACCCTCCCTGTCCCTTAGACTGCTCTTTCCCAGGATGAACAAACCCAGTTCCCTCAGCCTTTCCTCTTACACCATGTATTCCAGTCCCTGAAAACCTTATTCATCTCCACTAGACTTGTTCCAGTATGTCGGTGTACTGGGAAGCCTAATTCTGGAAACAATACTCCAGATACAACCTCGAACTGCTGAATAGATGGGAACCACCCTGCCAGAAGCTTAACCGTAACACCGAGACCTTTTCCAGCTCTCCATCTACGTTAGCTCCCCTCACCTCGCTGAGGGGCCTGACGGAAGCTTGACTGTTCAATCTCTTGCATCTCAGCCAACAGGTCATCCATCTTAAAGGTCTGGGGTGCACGGGGCAGTAAAGGGGCATTCTGCTCTTGCAGGAACTCTCCAACCAGCTGCCAAAGGCAGAGATGCATTACAAACATAGCATAGAAGATGAACAGGCAGAGCCATGGAGCATGACAGAAAGAAATGGACTTGTCAGAAGGAAAGATTAATATCAGGTAAGGGGAGAAATAGCAAACAGTGTTGATGAGAAAAGCTGTAAGGAGATGCATCAGTCTGTTCTTACCTCATCTTCAGTGGCCACTCCCAGTGGTTTGGATACCTACAGGGAATAGTGGGCAATTGTCCCAAAGGCTTTGACCTCATACCCCTCTCCACACACACCCCATGACCTGATTAGTTTACATCTTCCTCCTTCTTGAGCTTAGGCTGTCAGCATTTTCTCGCATTAGCTGCCTACTTATGCAGAAGCTAAAGGTGCAGGAATACCTTGAGTGATACCGTCCAACCCCGCTCCCACCACATTCTGGGTTAGGGCCTGTGACAATAACGCATACAGGTACCAACATACTCTGAATGACCATAAACACAGCTTCCTCAGGCAGACCCTTACCCCACAACCCTGTAGGACAAACTGGGTGACCCCATGGCCTCTGTCCCCAGAAAAAACAGCCTATCTGTACCAACAGTCCCCCTGCGCT